ACATACATACATATATTAGGAGCACACTGATTGCAGTTTTCTGGTCCATAACGTCTTCTAAAAAGTCTGACCTGCCAATACCGATTTTGTTTTGTAAGCGTTTTATGAATTATGAATTGTGTGTGTGTGTGTGTGTTTGTGTGTGTGTGTGTGTGTGTGTGTGTGTGTGTATGTATGAACACATACAGACGCCCTCATGTTTTGGCTTCACTGGGTCAGACCACCTCTACCTTTACTTATTTTGTTTTGCTTATACATTTTGTTTTTATTTAGTTAATGATAAAAAAAAAAAAAAGATTTTTAAACCAGAAAATCCATGAAATTAGTACAGGATTAGAGCTTTACTGCAAAACAACTAACTAAAATAACAAAAAACAGAATTTACAAAGACCCAGTGAGGCTCTGCTCTTACTCCATTTGTGTGTTTTATGCAATATTTATCGTTACACTACATTTAGACTTCCTGCTCTTTGCTTCTCGTCTGATGATTTATTACGCTATCACGTGGTAACATCCACCATGTTTCCCTGCAAGCTTCACTCTGTTTTATTTATTTATTTATTTATTTTAAATCTCTGATCCAAAAAATATGCTTTTTTTTGGCAGTGACACTTTGAACTGAAGAAAACAGAAGTTTTTTTATAGGTTTGATGTGGAAATTTTGAACAAGTTTTTTGCAGACGTAAAATGTGTGTGACGGATCAATATGTAGAACATTCTTCCTCATTTAGTCTACTGTAAGTGTCTGAGACTGAGGCTCTGTTCTGTCTCTGGTCCAACATCTAACTCATTTAATCTTTTTAAACTTGACTCAGCTGAGGAATACTCTGATTACTTTCTTTACTTTATTCCTTTACAGAAGAAGCAGCACAGTCTGCTAGTACTGCTCAGAAGCCACAGAGAGAGGAGTGTGAACAAAATCGGTCATCAATCAGGGAAATTAAGTTCTTTTAAGTGATTCTGGGAGGCAGATTGAGTTCATGATCCAGTTAGACACTATTTTGCTGAGTTGGTCTGCTGAAAAAAAAAAAAAACTTGGGTAAGAAATGGGGCAAGGGCAAGGCAGCAGACAGATGTTGGCTGCCATGCTGCAGAGATGTGACCGAGTGCCTCGTTTGAGACGAGGAACAACCTGCTGGGAGGAAGTGTAGGGAGGAGGTTTGTTCTGCTGTTCTGGCATCGCTTAAGGAATTGTGTTTCACCAGCCTTTTTTCATACCCGTTTTATACAAAGATCATCTGATGTTGAGAAGGAACCGAGAACTTCTTAACAGACGTTCTGCACAGTCTGAGACGTTGCATGATCTGTTCGCTCTCACCGTGTTAAAGTATTAGTTTTTGAGTTTCGTTGCAATCCATCCAGATCTTGACACATTATCAGAATCAGAATGCTTTTATTATCCGTGCACAGTGAAGTTTAATGAAATTACTTTCCGTACAGCCATCCTAAAGGTGAACAGAAGTGTACAATGGGGCTGCAGCTTCAAACATGTGCTGCCTCTATTGCTTAGATAAGAAAAGGGGGAGAAAACATAAAGAGAGAGGTATTTAAAAATATATATCTCTCACTCCGTGTCCTAGACAGGGCACGGTTTGAGGCATCAAAAAAATCTACCACAGCAAAGCAACATAAACAGACATAATACATATG